TGAGATGATTTGGACAGCAGTTGGAACTGCAATTTACCTATATGTTAAGAAAAAAAGAAGACCTATTAAAGATCTTTTAGCACAAAACAACTTATTAAAAACCTGGTACAATTTTTATCAATAGGCAGGATATATGAAACTACACAAACTTGGAATTCATATAGCAAACTTTGATCTACAAATGTATAGCTTAATGGTATTCACTCCTTTATTTCCTATAACAGGAAAATAGAGATATGCCGAGTCTGTAGCATGCTTCCTGTCAGATCTTCAAAACTGCTCACAAATGCTTCAAGATCTTAGAGCCATGCTTTCAGTAAATATAACACAAAAGGACCATTATCTTGCTTTCAATGAGGCTTTGGAAACATACAGAGTAAAGGTCATAAAAGAAAACATGACTGGACTGTCAACCAATTTGGACAATTTAAGGCTGAATATCAAAGCGGCACAAGCAGAACATGACCGATTTGACCCATTAATCTCAGAATTCACTAGAAACTTGTCAGTGAGCAAAAGTTTACGGTCTGTTATAAACTGCCAAGAAGCTCTTTGGAGACTAATCAACAAACTTAAATTAGTATTTAGTAGCCCACAACCGGAATCACATGATTTATTCACAGTAACTACACATTTAACAGACGACAGATCCTTTCGAATATCTAATTGTTATCAATCTGGAATCAATCGAATGAATACTATTGTTGAACAAGACATCAATACTGCTACACAGGTGAAAAAAAAAGGGCAAGGTAAATGAGACTTAGTGCCTATAAAGTTGATAAAATAAACGAAATGTGCAAAAGTAAAAGATAATAACACAATAGAAACAATAGCAAAAAATAGTAGTTCTGTTCAAGCTCCAGAACTACATAACATGAAAATTGAAGAGACTATATATGAAGACGAATTGCAACCAATACTATCTTCCAAAACTGGTTCATCTTCAACATCTATATCACACATACCTACATCTGCTGCCAAAACTGGTTCATCTTCAACATCTACATCACACATACCTACATCCGCTGAAGAAGAGATTTTAAAAGATCTAGAAGAATATGAAAATTCCAGTATGTTACCCTCTAAAGTTATCAATGGTTTAAAGGGTAGGTTATCGGAGTATACCGAATATTGGACATCGAAAAGAATTTATAATAGATGGTATAACCAGTATAGACAGTCAAAAAAAATATAAATAATATAAGTTAAACACATCTTTATAAACTTGTATAAACTAAAAACAAATAAAAATTTTAATAAAATATTTAAAATTAAATAATTTTACCTTGAAGTACCTTCATAATCAGGTCAAATTAATAAATTCTAGCAATCTACATAGTATAAAAAAAGTTTTTCTTAATTTTCTCCCCAAGTTTATAATATACTACCTGTTCAAAGTTATAGTTCACAGAAAGTCCTCATTCGTGCACATCTACTGATCCACTTTTTGTGTCAAGAATCTGTGAACTGAAGAATAATCTGATGAAAGAAGGAAAAATAGTTGCGATCTTTGAAGGTTTCGCATTCTGTGTAAAGACATCCGTTTTTTATGTTATTTATACCGTTTTGTTCGTAGAAACTCTAGCAATAACTTTTTAGAAGAAGAATATATATTATGACTGAGACTTGGGCAGAAAAATTTAAAAATGCAAATTCATTAATTTGTGTAACTTATGAAAATCCTATTATAAAATTTTAGATGTGACAAATCGGGCGCCTATTATATTTGATAGTTTTTTACGGTTTAATCGAAAGCGTTAAAAATATAAACAGTATAAACCTATTACGTAGCTAGTTTATATTTTTATCAGGTTTTGTCAATAGTATTGTTGGCATCACTAGTACGTACGTACATATATAGATTTCATAAACAAGATTTCGAGTCATAGAGATTTTGTTTCGATTCATGTTACACCTAATCTAGATTAATCACGGTCCGTATTTCCAAAATACTAAATTACAATATTTATTAATTTTACTTATCGATCATTATTTCATAAATTCATATATTAAATTATGTAATTAATTTATTGAAGAATGAAAAAATGAGTTTAACTAACATGCTTCGTGTAGTAAATTCTAAGAATTTATTGATTATTTGTATGCTTTCATTTTATACTGTAATTCATTTTAGAATAGGATGCTACAGGTTGGGTTAGTATGTAGACATAAATGCGACTCAAACTTTCCCTTTCAATAACATTTTATTCAACTTTTTAAAGGTAATTTATTTGGGTTGAAACTGGAGATAGCTAAAGCTGGAAGTTAGAATCTCAATTTAAAAACATAAACATAAACCCTACCAGTATCAAAACTAATCCTAAGATCATAAAAAAAATGAAATCTAAAATTTTCATTAAAATTTTCTGCTTTAGCCAATTCTAGCTTTAGCCATGGCGATAATTTTTTATTCAATCTTTATTTCAATAATATTTCTTAATTCTTGAATTAATTTCTCCTCTAATTTTTGCATCACCTCTTTTTTAACAACTAGTTTTGGTGCCAATTTAGCTTTACTGAGCATTTTTAATAACGAATTAGGAAGAAATGGTGCTTCAATAGTATCATCATCCCAGTTATCGTTTTGTATTTTAGTTACTATATTATACAGTTCATCAAGACTAAACCTGTAAAATCTTTAAATATTAATTAATATTAAAATTAAATTCTTTACAATAAATTACAATAAATTATTCCTTATAAATATTCAGGAAACCAATTATTTTTTCTTCATTGGTATAGTAGCATATAAAGAAGTTCTATTTCTGATATGATCTGTTTGAAGAGGACAAGGATTATTACAATTTTAAAAGAAAAAAATAATGCACAAATGTTTTAATCAAATACTACCTTTGCCCTTTGAAGTAAAAATAACTCTTTTTTTGTTTGTTTGACTAATAGAATCAGACAACAACCCAATAAACAAGTTCATTAAATAGATCATTGTAAAAAACGAAAAAAGAATTACTAAGAACATTAATGTTAAATTTTCAGTTAATGACCAATTTGACAAATAGGATGAATCGCCTATAACTAATTAAATATACAATTATAAATATGCATATAAATAAATATAACAATAATTGTAAAAAGATATTAAAAAATACCTGTTAACATTATATATAGGCCAAATATGCTGTATTTAAACCTGTAAACATATTTGTGCTTGTTTTCTCTAAATTATTTAGATTATTTGAAACATCAGTTGCTGGTCTTAATAAAACATATAAAGAGTGTGCGAAAGCAAACATAATAAGGCCAATTATTGCAAAAAATGGTAAAGAATATTTGATAACTCCAACAATCATTGCCCAATAAGTACCACCAAATTCAATAGCACGAAAAAATGTTATAAATTTAAGTTCTAGTAATAATATAGAAATTGTAATAGCCCAAGTAGGAGTAGTAGAAGATTGCAACCAATTAATAGAAGTTAATACAGGAAACAATATTGCTCCTACATCTTAAAATATAATATAATTAATTAGATAGAAATATTTACGAATTATACAAATAAATAAAATTATGCAAAGATACCAAAATAATTCCAAATTTTAGTAATCCAGAATAAAGGAGAATAAACAAATTGCCGAATTTCAAAGTTAAGATGTAAAACTCCAAAAATTATATTTGTGATTAATAGTAAATTTTGAATATGTTCTGATAATCCTTCAATTGTAGCAACTATCAGAAAGCTAAGCATAAAAATAATATAAAAAACAAAAATAGCAAAATAATAATATTTTCCGTAAGTATTCCACTTAAAGTTAATAAGAGCTTCACCACACCAATATTTATAAAGTTCAGGAAATAGATGTTTAGAAAAAATACTAGGTTTAGGAGAAATTAATTCTTCTAAAGAATTATATTCAACAGAATAATAACTAAACTTTGGTAATGGAAAAATTAAAACTACAAATTGAAAATCTTTATAAAATATTTGTTCTATTAGTTTTTGCATTTTTCCTTCTATTCTTTTTTTTATTTTTTCTATACTTTTTTGTATTTTTTCTATTATTTGTTGTATATTTACTCGAATACAATAAGAAATTTTAGAAACTAATAAAACAAATGGTTGGTTAATTTTAGAAATTAATAAAATATATAGTTGTTTAATTTTTTCTTTAATATTACTAGTAGAAGAGGGTTGTATACATTTTATATAACTTTGAAAATGTGGTTTTAAAAAAATTTTGTTAAATTTAATTTCTTCACAATTATCAGTTAAATGAATAAATAAAGTATAAGATAAATATTTTTTTAATAATTGAGGAAATTGTACTAATTTTTCAAATGAAAAGGTAAAAATATGTAATAATTGAATTTTCTTTAAAAAGTCATCTTTTTCGGCTTCTTTAAATATTTTATTACATAATTTTTCAGCTGATGGATAATATTGAGGCTTTAAGAAACTCTTTAGAAATTCTGCTCCATGTAACTTTATTAATATTAAATTTGTTTCATTGCATATTTTATCACATAATCTCTCTACTAATGGATAGAGTTGAAACTTTAAACAACACTTTAGAAGTTCCTGTCCATATAATTTCATTAATATATTATCTTCAATATAATCATCCAATAATTCATTTAAAATATCTTTAAAAGAATTTTCGTATCGTTGGATATATATGAATTTTCGTAATAAATAAAAAAATCAATATCTGGTACTGGCAATGAATTTTTTTATAGTTTTGTAATTTGTCCAATAAATTTGTAAGCTCTAAGTTACTTTTTACTCCCCACCACTTTTTATAATCCTTTTTATAGTTTTCAATATTCTTATCAATTATATCATTTATATAATATAGTAATGTAATTTTATCTTTTTGCCAAATTGTCTATATAAATAAGCCAGTACTTGCAATTACTACTAAATCATCATTATGCAACAAATCACAACTATAAAAGTACATGTCTATTGTCCGATAAGTTGTTGTAGTTTTTTCACCATAAATCAATTCAAAAGATTTTAATTTTATACTATTTACATCTTTTCAAGTATTCAAACTAAATTTTTGAGCTCGTATTATTTTTTCCTTGCCATTTACTTCCCATTTTACTGTTGACCCTTCATACAATTTTGTCTCCTCCATCATACTAATAGATTCATTATCTTCATTTTTATTTTTAAGTCTTTGCAGAATTTCTTTTATTTGAGATTTGCTAGGTAGAATTCTTATTTTATCAGTATCTTGTAAGTTTTCTTGTAGATATTTGATCCATCGTTCTTTAGAAACCTCTTGAATCCATAAACATTTATCTGATAAACAATATATTTTTTCGTTTATCAATTCTTTAATTTGTGCGTTCGAAATATCTAATTTTGTCAAAGCTTTTTTACTCAAAAGTTCTGTATACAGGTTTGAAGTCGGTTTATCGTTGAAATCATGCTGAACATTGTAAGGATCTCTTGCATCAAATTTGTCGTTATAAAATAAGAGTAACCTTTCCGCTTCATCAGATGAAATAAATTCTAATTCACAAAATATTTCATCACTTTTGACTTGGCCTATAAATTAATTATAATTTTAAGTATATAGAATTATAGTAAATCAGCCAATAATGTTTGTACTACATATATTATAGAAAGATTACTTAGTACATAAAACATCAACTATAGTTAAACACCACTGGCTTAATTTAATAAACTCAAAATATTAATAGTTATACAAAAAGGTGTTCAGATTCTTTAAACACTTTGCAAACAGCGATATACTAATTTAACAACCTATATTGTGATAAAAGATCGAATTTTCTGCTGAATAAACATAAATCATAATTCCTTCTGATGAATCTAAACGTACTGCAAGTAATGTAGAGTTTGCATTAAAGACGCATTGAAAAATAGTCCTGTACCATTTTTTGTCAATATAATGACGGGCTATATGTAATTGATATTGTTTTTCAAATGATAATGTATATGAATTCCATTGTGTCAATGACCCACATCTATCAAGAAGCATTATCTTTTCCTTGTTGCTTATACGACACATTACATCTTTACGTTTGCCACAGAAAATTGAATTATTAATTATCCAGCTTTGCTTATGTGAATTTTTAAATGAAAATTTAAGAATAAGATTAGAATCTTCACGTTTAATATATCTATTAAGTATGAAATCTTCACTATCATAAAATTTACAATCAAGAATTTTATCAAAGACTTCTCGACTTAATTCTAGGTCTACTTTTTTCTTGGCAGTAAGATTAAAAACTTTAAAAGAATAAGTTTTTTTGATTAAGTATTATGAATATTGTCAATTATTTATCTTTATGTCACTAACCAGTTATTTTCCAGGATGCTTCTATCACAACAGATTTATTATCTGAAACTGCATGTAAAGTTAGGTATTTCGATTCGGGATACATTTCTTTAAGATCAATAAGTTCGTCTTCTATTTGTTCTACAGGTTGATCTTTGTCAAGTTGCCAACCGCACATTGAACGATCATCATTGCTTAATGTCACTGCGTACTTGCTATTTGGTGATAACAAGAATTGGTCTATTTTCTTGCCATTGTGTGGTTTAGTAGGTTTAGGATCAATTTGAATTTTTTCCTCTTCATCTTCAAACTTTGATGTTTGTGAAGATTCACCTTCGTTACTCATTTTGAAGAGAATCTCTTATCTCCTATGCATTTTTTCTTTAATAAAGTATGGCTTAGAATACTATTTATCATGCAATGTTACATTGGCTTAATTAACTGGCTATCACACTTTTCTGTAGTGGCTCAGACAGTTTAGCTGGCTAAGGCCTAAAATTCATTAATTTCGAAAAAATTATAAACAATAAGCCCAACTTTTTAAATTTTAGATCAATGTTTCAAACATTCAATTCAATATACTTTGAATATATTATGTAAATTATATGAGCGATGAGATTTTCAGCATAATATTGCTTAAAATTTGGTTTGATATAAACCTGGTATCTTTGTTTATTAAACACAGACATAATGTAGCTATTAAATAACTCTTTTTACATGGTTACGTTTAAAGGTGAATAACATTGTATGTCTCTGTAATGACCAGTAAAAAAAAGGGGGAATTTACACATAAAGACCCCAAAATGAAAATAATTACGGATGAGGGCCCAAAATAAAAATTTTTACATATTGCGTGCCAAAATTAAAATTATTATAAATTAGGGCCTGTCCGATCTCCGAGCAATACTAGGCGACTAAGCCACGATTTACATAGCGTCGCCCAGAAAAATGGTAGCCCGATTAAAATAATTATACGTACAATATCACTAAAATAGCTTAATTTTTTTTACTCGAAAAAACTAGGCACTATTTACGAATCTCGCTAACAACTTATGACTTTACGAATTTTAACGCATTGATTAGAAAGATCTTTATACATAACTAAAAACACGAATAAAAGACATGCTGTGATTATTTTAAACATTAAGTTCCTTAGTAATTACTAGCTAAATTAATAAACAAGAAGCAAAGTATGAAATTTTCACGAACTTAATAGCTTATTTAAACGATTGATCAAATTATATTTTTGTGAATTAAACACAGCAAAAATTCTCGAAACAAAAGTGAAAGTCAAAACGAAAGTCAAAAAGAATGTCAAAGTCAAAACGAAGGTCAAAGCGAAAGTCTTAATGAAAGCCAAAATGAGAGTTTAATTGAAAGTCAAAGTATAGGAGAGTCAAAGCGAAAATCAAAGTCAAAACGAAAATTAATCGAAAATCAAAGTAAAAAGTTCAGAAGTTAAAGCGAAGACCAAGTGAAAGCCAATATAAAAATCAAAGCTCTAATGTTTATTAAGCATGATAAACATAACCGGCAATCAGTTTTCGAATCATATGTAAACCAGCAAAAATCCGGCTACATTTTTCTGGGCGACGTTATGTAAGTCTTGTAGCTTAGTCACCTAGTATAGCTCAGGCCCTTATTTGTAATAATTTTTGATTTTGGGCCGCTATACGTATGTAAGAATTTTTATTTTGGACCCTCATCCGTAATTATTTTCATTTTTGGGCCTTTAGGTATAAATTCCCCCTAAAAAACCCAATAAAATTTGTGAATTTAGGATTTTCGTAATAATCCATGTTTAGTGTAACCTTGTTTAGCAACAAGCAACACTTTATACCTAAAAACTAAAGGATTTTGCCTCACAACACTCAGATAAGAACAAAAAACTATTATTTATCCGGAGTTTCATAATTAATGATTCTGCAGATAAAATAAGTGACGTATTTACCTCAAAATGCGTGATACATAAATCCTATTTTTTTTAACGTATATACTTATTTACATAATCATTTATAGTAAATATTTATCAAAACAAAGCTAATTTTATTAACGTGTGTGCCTATTTAATTCACTAAATCAATAGAAGTAGGATTTTTTAAATTACCACTTATTTTCAAAAGACATTAATTATGAAACCCTACTAGTACGTATTTAACATTAATCCATATAAAAATCTTTATGTTTTATGTTAAAGGTTACGAATTAACTTCCCGAAATCCATTATCGATGCCACAATACTGACAATCTTATTTTCCCGAAATATGGTTTAATCGATAACATACATTCTTGCAACTATTCTTTAAAATATGTAGATTTATGTACGTATATAAACAACCTTTATAATCAGACTAAATTATAATTAGAAAATAATAGCTATAAATTTAAATACTATAATTAATCTTTATACTCTATAGATGCAGACATTTGAAGACGTATGGTTACATCTAATTGACGTGTTGTCACTACTGTTGTTAGGCGAACCTATTTTTGGCAAATGACGAAAGTTGAAACTGGCGAAACTTTGGCGAAACGGCGAAACTCTGGCGAACCCCTGATAAAGCTGAAACCCCTGTAGAAAGTCTAACACAGCGAAGATCAAATCCTCTAAGACTTTGAAGATTGAGCCATGTTGGTGAATCAAAATATTTTGCGTGTAGCTATTAAGCATAGCATATGTTTATATAAAAATATATAAAAGCAATAAACAAAGCAATAACCTTTCGTTTGTATTCGAGTACTATTAAAAGAAAACTAGACTTCAGTCTTTTGAACTTATAATAAGTCAATTCAGCCTTGAAAATTCAAAGCCTGATATCCTGTTTTCTTTTAGTAATGCTTATTTAGTAAAATAAACTTATCTAAATATTTAAATAAAATTATTGTTAAGATTTTTCTCTTTAACATTTCATTGTTAAAACTTTAGTTAAACACTATATATATTTAAGTAATTTGTTAACATTATTATTACTGGCAATTATTTCCTGATGTTTTATCTGGCACTAGATCTCAAGGCTAACTTTAAGGAAATAGTTGCAATGTAAATTGGATCCGGCTCGGCGCACATAGATTTAAATTTGCACGTATATCAGTATACATGGGTGCCGAAATTGCCCATCTTAATAAAAAAGTAATTACGGCATTTAGGCAGCCGAAATTAGTCTTATG